TCTAAGATTTTGATATGAAAAATCATTGTTTGATCATATGAACAAAGGGGTTTGCGCGAGGGTTTTGACGCACGAAGGTGCGGACTGCGGCTTCTGCGCAGAGAGGAGCGGGTTGTTGCGAGGCAGGGCGGAGCGTGTAGGATAGGGCGGAGCGGAGGAAGACGAAGGAGTGTGGCGCGGCTGCTTTGGTGATCTGCATGCGCAACCCCCTTTTTTTTTCGATTACCCTAACCGCGACTGTCCTGCGAGTGGGATGAAGGAACATTGGCAAGGAGAGAGTGATAGGGAGACGAAGGTGGAGGAAGATAGGAATTCCGAAGGTCTTTGTGCGTTGGGATTCAGTCGTTGCCTTCCTCGCTAGTCAAGACCGAGGCCGGTGAAGCGAGATCAGACTCGTGCGGCGCAGGGATTAGACGCGGACAAAGGAAAGGGTTTCGGTGTCGATTGTAGAAAGAAATGCAGTGTGAGGCAGGGAGGAGCGGCAGATGTTCACGAACAAAAGAGGCGTTAATAGTGCTTTCGAGCGACTTAAACAATAAGGGGGTTTTAAAGATCTCTGTTTGTGTCGTTGCTGTTAAACGAAAGAAGTAGAAGTGAAGGAGAGAAATCTCGTTGTACATTTGGGCCAGACCCGAGAAAGCTGAGGATTAGTTATATTGATGATATAGGAGGAGAGTCACATGAGGCTGGTTATACTCTGAGCACTCTGAGCCAGAGTGGACTTCCAGGCACACAATTAGCTTTGGCTGCATCCAGCTCAGGTGTGACAGCTGCCCAGGGGGAGACCCGTAATTGCTACAGCTGTGGAGAAGTGAAACACCTGAGTATGACTTGTCCAAAGTCACTCAAGGAGAGAGATACAGGCGGACGCGAAGAGTCTAGAGGCTGTGATTTTAATTGTGGGAGCCAAGGGGCGGAAAAACAGGCTACCTTGAACTGTGTACATTTGGCATTAAACAAAATATAAGAGTCCAAAAAAGTCAAAAGATAAAGCAAAAGAAGAGGGACTTGTACTCAAAACAAAAGACAACAAAAAAAACTAGTACATGTGCTCAAAACAAAATAAAAAAGTTTATTCTGCTCAGCCAGCGGAAGAGATGTGCTATAGAGATGGCTCCTCTCCCACCCATTGGTTTTCCCTGCAATGTAAAACATCCATAAGGACTGGTTAGTGTTCCAATGCTCCCGCATTGAATTCAAAAATACCCATATCATAATCCTGATTCTAGCAGCCATAGTGGCAATGGTTTGCCAAGGGGGAAGAGGAGTCAAGCATTTTCTAATGCGGCTAATTCCCTCACATCAAAACTGCCTTTTATGCATTTTCTCTTATGAGGAAGGGAAGCAATCGGTCCTAACCTTAACAATTCTTTGTCAAAGTGGGCCTTGCTAGCAAAGAACAAGGGAAAGACAAGGGTAGTCTTTACCGATGAGGATCATGAGTTACTAGAGATGTTAAAGGGAAAGCAGAGAGTGGCGGGTATTATGACTACAAATGCACCCATCTTATCGTCATCTAAGGGGAACACTACTAGTTATGCTCACTCAGCCAAAGATACTCGTGACACATGCTCTTGCCTTTATATCAACCACAAGATCACCTCAATGAATAGTAGATTCTGGTTTATCTTGACATGTGACAGATAACGCTAGTGAGTTATCTTCTTATGCTCACTTAACAGTTCCAGAGAGCATTCAAACCACTGATCGTACAATATAACATGTGGTTGGTAAGGATACAGTGAGGTCTATAAATTCTATGACTTTGTTCAATGTTTTGCATGCTTATTCCTTTCCAGTGAATTTTTTATCCATTAGTGTCAGTATACTCCAACTGTTGTTTCATTTGATATTCCAATTATGATCTTTCAAAAGAAGGGGATTGACACGTGCCATAGTAGACTCTAGTACTTGGATAGAAAAGGGATAGACTCAATCTTGACATCCATGGTTGAGAATGCTAGGACAGAAGGACATGAGAGGAGTGTGAAGGATGTTTTGCTGCTCATCACAGACGATGATATACTCTTTGCTTAGTCTATTGAGTTATTGATATCCATCATTGTATGAAAAAATAAATAAACAAAAACTTGTGTTTGATGTTTGTGAGTTTGGTACGCATATCGGGAGCTCTTTTTGTTAGTTATCGTAAAAGGTGTTCTTATGCTTTTGATTTGGTGCACTCAGATGTATGAGGATCTTGTTCTTCAACTTCTATAGATAGTTACAAATATTTTGTGACTTTTATTGATTGTTTTCCTCGTGTTACTTTGTTATATTTGATAAGAAACAAAAATGATGTGTTTGCTTGCGTTAAAAACTTTCATAGGGTGATTCAAACTTAATACGGTGCAGTAGTGAAGATGTTGAAGTCTGATAATGGGATAAAATATACCAATAAGACATTTGGGAAATAATTGTCAAACCAAGGGATACAACATCATACCACATGTTCATACATTCCGATAGAAAACGAAATAACAGAGATGAAGAATAGATACCTTCTAGAGGTAGCTCGAAGCATGATGATCACGATGAATGTCTCAAAGTGTACTTCTAGGGGCAAACAATTTTAACATCGACTCAATTGATCAATAGAATGCTCTCAAGAGTGTTGGACTAGAAGTCTTCTAATCAGATGTTGAAATAAGATATTGGTGAGATCCTCCTATTGAAGGTTTTTTGCTGTGTATGTTTTCTAAAAGAAAACAGACCATTAGTAGGAAAATTAGATCCTAGAACTGTTAAGTGTGTTTTTCGTGGGTTATTCTGCTACCCAGAAGGAGTATGTTTGTTGGAGTCCGATAGAGAAGAAACTGTTTGTGAGCATGGATGCGCCTTTTAGAGAGTTCGAATCTTACCACACCCTGGTGCTCATCAGACACTGAAGGTATGAGGTGTGAGGGGGAGATTAGTGATGGTAAAAGATTGTTACAGGTGGGAGCGATGTCTTTTCCCGTTGTGTGGGAATGATCAATTGAGGAAGAGCTGAAAAATAAAAAAATGAACCTAAAGATGGAGTGATTCAAGCTCAAAGGGAGCTGAGATTGTACAAAAGGAGGAGGTAGAATGAGGGAATGATGTCAGTTGTGCCACCCGTGTCATTAAGTCACTTGTCCCGGTCTATCCCGACTCTTTGAGACACTTACACCTTCCACTACATAATATAATTACTTAGGTGATATGATTTATTTCTCTTCTTTCCACTCCCATAACTTTAAGGAGAACCTCTGACAACAATGCGAGTTGTTCTTCTGATCGTTATTCTTCTGATTGCTTTGGTTTCTCCCATGACATTACTCAGTTTGTCTCATACTCTAACATATCATCTGTACACAGAACATTCATTGTATCTTTAAGCATTGCCTCTATACCTAAGTGTTGCATGTAGCCAAGGAAAATCCAAAGTGGAAGGCTGTCATGCCGAAGAAACTTGGTGTTCTTGATAACAACGAGGCGTGGGAAATAATACCATTAACAGCAGGGAAAAGAGTAGTTGAGTGCAAGCGAATTTTCACAGCAAAACAAAGTCCAGAAGGGAAAGTGGAGCGTTATAAGGCACGATTGGTGGCGAAAGGGTATAGTCAGATATATTACATTACTTATGATGAGATTTTTGCACCTGTAGCAAAGATGAGCATAATGAGAACATTGTTTTCTCTAGCTGTGAATGGTGGGTGGATGTTACACCAACTTAATGTGAATAATGTTTTTCTTCATGGTGAGTTACTGAAGGAGGTTTATATGGACATACCGTCGGAATTCAACAGAGATTAGACAAAGGGCAAGGTGTGCAGGCTCAGGAAGTTCTTTATGGCTGGAAGCTATCTCTTAAAGCCTAGTTTGACATGTTTAGAAAAACTATGGAGGGCATGAGTTATTATCCGATGAATGCCAATCATACGGTGTTCTTTCGTCAAAATGGTGGTCACATCACTATGTTTGTTGTGCATGTTGATTACATGATTATTACTGATGATGATGAGACACAGATTGTTCAATTAAATGTTAGGTTGGACAAGAATATGAGGTGAAAAACCTTGAACAACTTAGCTATTTTCTTGGGATTGTGGTGACTCGTGAACCAAAGGGGATGATTTTATCTTAGAAAAAAGGATGTATTAAATCTCTTCACATAAACATACATTCTGGGATGCAAGCTTGCTGTCTATTCAACTGATCAGAAGGTCAAGTTGAGTGCAGAGGTGGGAGAGCCAGCTGATCGTGAGAGATACTAAAGATTGGTGGGTCGTTTGATCTATCTGAGTCACACACATCCCAACATCTCATTTGTAGTGAGCGTGGTTAGCCGCTATGTGCATGATCCAAGGAAGGGTCATATGGACGCAGTGTATCAAATTCTGAGTTATCTGCATAGTGCACTAAGGGGGGGGTTGATTTTCAGGAAGAATGAGCATTTAGACATTGAGGGCTATATTGTGATGTTGACTGGGCGAGTTGTGCAGATGATAGAAGATCCATCTCGGGATACTGCATGTTTGTAGGGGGCAACTTGGTCTCTTGGAAGAGCACAAAACAAGCTATAGTCGCGAGGTCAACAACAAAAGCAGAGCACAGAGCCACGACCTTAGAAGTTGCTGAGATGATGTGGATGAGAACCTTGTTGGTCGAGCTCAAGGTGGATCAAGGAACTCAAATGAAGTTGTGGTGTGACAACAAGTCAACAATCAACATTTTCAACAACCCGGTGCAACACGATAGAACCAAACATGTGGAGATTGATAGATTCTTCATCTAGGGAAAGCTGAATAATGGGCTACTGCAGCTAAGTCATGTAGCCACTCGAGAGCAATTGACTAAATGTCTCACTAAAGGACATAGTTCAATAAATTTGTCTAGATTATGTAACAATATGGTCTTAGTGGATATCTTTTGCCCATCTTGAGGGGGGTTTGTTGAGATTTGTATCTTATTTTGAGGAGTCTAATTGTAAATAGAAAATATAGAAGAATTCTAGGGGTTATTTGTAAAAGGTTTGTATGGTTCTATAGAAGCCCAACTCATGATTGAAAAAGTAATAATTTCTTCAAAATCATTTCATTACTTTTTCTCCATGTTAACTAACCTCCACAACTCAACATAGCCATAACGGTATTACTGCTAATGGCGCCAACCCTTTTTCACTCCTTTTGGGAGAATTATGCGGGTATTATTCAGTACTCTTATTGCATCCTTTTGTTACCCACAATATTTTTTTTTGCATCCTTTTGTTACCCACAATATTTCTTCTTTAGTTCTACTAAAATTGCTATCTAGTGTGTTATGGATACTATTCGGGTGCATATTCATGGGTAATTTTCATAACAACCCAACCACTTGTTATTTCTACAGTTTCACGTATCATAGGTGGAACTGAAATCCAATATTGTTGCATTAACAACGTTTGGGTGCTAGTTACGAATATATTAAGTGGAAGCAAAAAAATGGGGACTTGAAAGCATTAGAGAAGAGGATTGCTTGAACATAGCGAACCTAAGTTCTACTACACTTGAACTTCACTAGCAAATTATGAGTTGAACATCCTGAAACATCAAGATTTTCTCTCCACTCAATCATAATTCTATTTACAGATTTACCACTTAAAATTTACTCCTGCAAGGCTCCCTACTTCTTGCAACACTAACTATCAAAAAACTCTTTCTCAGAGTCTTTTTTGCCACCTATTTCTGATTGCAATATATTGTTTCCCTTGATTGGAATTCCAAAGAGTTTGATGCCACCATCTGGCTCCTTCGATACTTTTTCCACTGACCCATGATTTTTGGAGCATTGTACTTCTAAGAGAGGTGCTGCTGAATTATCCGAAGGACCGATCTCTACAATTCTGCAAGGTCTTGGGTTGACCTGTCTTTCCTCTGCAGGAACTGGGCTGACATGGTTCTGGATGAAGTAGATGATGTCGTTGCACAGCTGTTTCATGTGTGTGAGTTCTGATAATAAGTATGAATTCTTTCTCCTCAATCTCTCATTGTCCTCAGTAAGTGCAGAAATGAACTTGTTCGCATCACTATTTGGTAGAGGTGATGTTGGTTCAATCCAACGGCTCATTTCTTCCTGGTAGTGAATTGTTGGAGGTGAGTAGTAGTGTTGATGATGGTATTGTTGAGAGATTTGAGGGGTCTTCCTTCTGTGGATCTCGGAAAGTATATCTTTTTTGCCTTTTCTAAATAACTCGTTAGCGAACTCCCACCTCTCGGCCACTGTTTTCCTAAAACCCTGCAGAATGTAGGAGATCTTGATCATCAGCATTACTTTGTTAGAGTAAGACTTTGTTGCAATTGCAACAGCCTCTCTTTATTTCAGTTACACACAAGTAAAGAATGAGTAGCTGATTCCCACCATTGAGTTGTTAGAAAAACTCACAAGGAAAACTTAATGCAGGCCATAAACGAGAAAACATTTTTTTCTTGAGTTCTCAAAGGTGTAGTTAAAATTACTTTCAAAATTCTTTCTCTACAAAGTTGAACTGGATTGTCTAAATGAACTATTTTTGAACAGTATCTATCATCAAAATGACCCGTTGAAAGAACTTGTTGAGGGAAACTGATTCTAGAAGAAGCGATCTGCACAGAATCATCTCTACATTGAAAAAGAGATTCAAAAGAACAGAAGAAAAAGCAATGCTGCATATATTGGAACCACCACGCACAAAAGCCAATGCCAGACAGTTGAGAAAACAGTGCCAGAACTCATAATCTCTTACACATAGAACGTTAAGGGTAGAAGAGAAGCAGAAAGAACCCTCATTAAGACTATTGAGAAAAACAGAAAGCTACATAGGTGCTGAGGAGGAATGATGGTTTCTGTACAAAGCTTACATAGGTGTTGAGTTGTCTCACAAAACTTGAGAAATTGTTGTGCTTGAAGTAATTGGGCAGGAGGTCTTTGGCAAACTCAGGAGGCCTCCACACTACAAATGAGGTGCCATCTTCTCCCCATGAGACTATGTGATCAGTGCATGGATCATCAACAAGCTGATAGGTCTTGGTGAGAAATGGTGCAGGGACTGATTTTTGAGACTCCATGGAGACTACCATCTCCCTACAATTCCTCATCAAGAAGGCCATTGCTGGCAGTGAGCAGAGAGTGCAGGTCTTCTTCTTCTTCTCAGTTATAGATATTGCTTCCAAGCTCTTCTATGGGGACCTCAAGTATTCTCCCTCTCTCCCTCTACTCAAACTTATGAGTACTTTATCTGTACATAAGATGCATATGGAAATAAATGTACTGCAGTGCATCACTTAGACTAAAAAGTGTCTAAGTTATGGCGTAAAACTACAGTGTCTCAGTGGGAGACACTTTTAAAGTTGGTTAACTTCCATAGGTTTGGCTCAAGATGCAAGACACATTTTCCTAAGGCAATCATTTTGTGTTTGTAAGATAATTCTGTTCATTATACAAAAATAAATAAAATAAATTAACAAATATGCTGTTTAATTTGAAACCTGCTCATTTTGCTCATTGATAAGGTTATCTTAGGCTTCATCTGTCTCTTATTAGCGGCCACCTCTTACTTTTCTTCTTCTATTTGTTGTTTCAAAGCAGGCCCGTGACTTCCATGATATAAGAAAGGAGGTGAAAATAGCTGGAGGTGTTTATTTTTCTTCTGTTACCATCCACAATTGACGCAGTGTCATTTTCTATTCCCAAACCTGTCATTGGCCTGAATGGTGGGGCTTAAAGTCTGTTGCTTCTACCAAAGAATAAAGTTCTGATTTTGAAAACAAACATTCATGGCTTTCTACATAGATGAAAAAAGGGCATTTACATACATACCACCAAAATTCTTCTGTATTTACATATCTAACAGCTAAACTTTAATGTTTACATTTATACTGCCCAAATCTTCTGTAGCACACCAAAAATATCACTTTTTTAACTTTTAGAAAGTGACATATACCTTTTTCATGCATATATAAGGCTACATATTTGTAAAAATTGAAGTATAGGTGTTGGATATGTAAATACATAAGAATTGTGTGGTATGATCTTCCAAAAAGAAAAAAGGGAATCCTTATGAAGGTGCATTAGCACCCCTTTCTTTAGGGATGGGACATTACATTTCTCATAAGAGAAGATGCTTACTTGGGATTTGGGAAGCTCCAGTGTGAGTCATCCATAGAGAAAAATCAGAAACAAAACATTATTCTCCCAACTTTTTAATATGATTTTTCACACACAAAATAAAAAAAAAAAAGTTGAGAACGTACGGAGTTTCAGTCCTAGATGTTGGTGAGGGATAAATTGGCTTGATTTTAACAATTTTGAAACATGAAGAACTTGTACCCAAGCCTGTTCTTGATTTCTGTGTGTGTATATACGGACTATTCATGATTTCTGTGCCTGCTAGATAGTCCTAAGAACCAGACCTTGTAATCAGAGTAACTAAAAGGTATATACTAACTTCAAGCTATTTTTCAAGCATGTATTGGTTCAGTAATGAGCAGGCTGCATATTAATTGTTGACACACTCGTACATACACATAACCAGTGCTGTTCTTAGTCCAAGAAAATAATTTTTCCAATATGGATGTATAAATTGTAGAAAAAAGGAGGGCTTTGATGGTTTTCTAGCTTCTTCTATTGAATTATTGACACTAAGAGAGAAATTTAGAATAATTAAATATGTTTTTTTTTTTGGCAAAAATGGCAAAAATAGTTACTGTTGCATGTGCTTCATATTATTATTTTTTCTTAAAATTTGAATTTGTGGAAGATTCTATTCCTCATATGAAAACTTCCTCTGATGATTTCCATATATTCTTGAGTGAACTTATTATGTATGCATCACATGGCCCCCATACACATGTGACCCACTGTTTGGGATGGCAGATATTACTTTTGATTGAAAATGCATTATAAGCTAGGGGGTGGGGAGGGAATCTTGACTGATTTTGGCCCGCTCCTCTGCCACCTTTAAATAATTTACACATCTAGAGGCATACATGTGATTTGCATATTCCAAGAAGAACAAAGAACTTGTTCGTGAATGACATAGATAAGTTAAGCTTTCATTTGCAAATGCTCGAACTTATAGCATATTGGTTAAAGATAAAATGAATAATTTGCAGGTTTTGAGTACTCACCCTGCCCTGAAAATAAAAGCTTCGTTTTGTAACCCAGCACTGGCCCTCTCTATATAGTAAAGCTCACCGAACTCGGTGCCTCAAAAATTTAGTATTAAAATAAAGAGAAATTTATATACACACTACAAAATTCTTGGTTATTTATATATCTAACACCTAAAGTTTGATATCTGCATTCATTACACTTTGGTATCGTAAGCCTATGTTTGAAAATGTGTATTTCACCTTTAAAAAGTTAGTAATAGTAAAAAGGTAATAATAGTGGTATTTTTTATGTAATATTAAAGATTCAAGTGTTATGCATATAAATATGAAAGTTTATCTGTTAAGCATGTACATAAGAAGAACTATGTGGCTGTTGTTGGCTTTCATGCACTTGTTGCCTATCTTTTTTGCCGGACGAGTGCGTCAAGAAAACTGGAGTCAAAACTCTTCTCATCATTTTCAGTAACTCTCATTGAAGGGATCAAAGATCCTTCCTGTAATTGTTGAGATCTATATCTCAATAATTGTCAAAGATTGACATTTTTTAATTTCTTTTTAAAGATAAATATGAGAGTGAAGAATACTAAGCTTTACTGAAAACATCTCTTATTTTCTCTCAAGAGAGGGCATTAGGGGAAGGAATCTCCTGCAGTGCATTAAGGGATCTGACTAAAGCCTGTCCTCACATAAATGTTCATTTTGAAGGAGTCAATTACTCCCTTGACCCCCAAAATACATATCTACAACACTTCGAATCTCTCTTTTTAGAGGTACATTTAATCCCGAGTCTATAAAAGTGTCAATTTTGTCCCTAAAATTTTTAATGGGGGCTAAAATAGTCCTCCCCGGAGACTATTCGGGGAGGACTATTTCAGCTAATATTAAAATAATCTTGGAGCTATTTAGACACTTTTATAGATTCTGGAACAAAAATGACCCCATGTAAATAGTTAGGGGATTATTTCGACACTTTACTCGTGTTGAATTATACAAGTGGACATTTACTGCCTTCTGATCCCTTCGTCTTTTCTTCATCAATATTTCTGTTCTGAACAGCCAGAATGTAAGGTTTTTCTGAAATTGATCAAGAGATTCCATTAAATGAAAGCACAGATTAGCTCACCTCCAACTTCATGTGCATGAAGGTTCCAAAAGACTACACCTTTCCTTCTGTTGCTGCTGTACAACGACTATTCTTCCTCTGTCTGCTATTACTTCCTCCACGTGAGCTCACATGAAAACTACTGCAACCAAGCCTGTGATCCCTGGCCTTTTTCAAAAAACCACCAGACCTTGGTAGATATGTGAAGTGGTAATTGGAATGGGGTGGAAGGTAAAATTACACACCAAGTTGGAAACAATTATTCATCCCTGCAACCCATGATCCCTGTAATAGGCTGCCATAGATGTAAGGATTGCACATTCATTGCAAAAGAGAAAAGTAAAAGCAGTGCCATCATTAGCTGGAAGGTGACTCCCCCTTCAAGGGGCTTTAGTTAAAGCTGAGGGAAGCTAAAGCTGAAGAATACTCTGAAGTTCTATTGGATTTGGGTTTCTTTTCATCTTTCTTTTTCCTGGATTACTGTAATCATGTTTTAAACTGTAAGTTCTGGACCTCAGTGCATTTTTAGTGCTTTAGGCTTTATAAAGTTGGTACCTTTTCTATTGGTTTCTGTAAATTTTGTTATAAATGTAGTATCATATTGAAATCTTCATGCTATAATTCAAGCGTGCACCTATGTTCTCTGACTTTTTTTTATTAATTCTTCTGCTGCTTAGAAATTTAAGAGATTTAACTTTGTTTGTCCCAAATTGATATTTGTGTTTGTATAATGGCTCATTATTGCTTACTTATAGATATTTTGGGGGTGCAGCTTTGTAGTGACGCACCACATTTTGTGTTTGATAAAATTGTGTTTTGCTAGTTTTTTTCAAAAAACAATGGAGAAAAGCTGTGTTTTACAAACTGACTTGACTAACTGTGGTGGTTGCTTGAAAGTTGCGGTTTGACTTTTTGAAAAAAAAAATATTGTAATAACCACCGCAACTTTTTGAACAGTTGTTTCTTTTGCAGCAGCTTCAAAGGTGTTTCTTCAAACAATTGTAATGGTCCCAAATAGACCCAAATTTTCTTTATAGCAGAAATGGCAAAATGGGGTTGCATGTGGGTGACACTTTTTAATTTTGTTCAACTATGAAGGAGAATATCAAATTCTAGTCATAAATTATATGTTGCACTTAATTTTTTTTTGTCAAATATATGACTTGGATGCTAGTTATTAGAGGGGTGAAATATCCAATTATCATGAAAGATCATTAGCATAATATTAAAAATATAAATATTATTGCATTTTGAATGAAATTACTTACATTTTATGTCATAATTTTGATTTGTGGACAGCGTGAAGCAGAAAGAGTACACATTCATCTCCATTAGTTTCTCACTGAGCCAACGCATTTGAAACTTGAGAGTTCATATTTTACATACACTTCACATAATTCTATATATTTACATATCTATCGCCTAGCTTTTTAATATTTGCTTGCATAACTCTTAAATTCACATCATCTTTTAAAAATACCACTAATTGTTAATTTTCTTAATTAAAACATATATTTTAATGTATATGATTATGATAATAAGTATTATATAAGTAAATATTAAAATTTAGATGTTAGATACATAAATATATAAGAATTATGTAAAATATGTATATGTGGGCGTGTGTGTTTATCATACATTAATTTAGATATTAATTATTTTTAATTAAAGTCAATATTTTGAAATGTAAAATCTAAATTTGAACTTTTACTTACATAACTCTTGAATTCTTAGCATCTTATAAAAATAAAGTTATGAATAGGATAAAAAAATGTTTATGATTGTTTTTTAAGCTAAATTAATTAATAAAAAATGTAAGATATTAGATTCGAAGATGCATCATTCATATGCAATAAAATGTTTTTTTTTTAAGCTTACGTAAAATATACATATACTATATTATTATATAAATAATATATATAATTTCTTTATTTTGAGTTAAAACAAGCCAAGCATGATCGAACGAAAGGTTGTTCATGCTCGGCTCGCTTACCAACGAATGATTCAAATATGAGCTAGTTAATCAGCCGAACACAACTATTCATGGATAATGAGCATTTTTTTACAGCCCTACCAACAACTTCGAATATCTACAATGAATGCAATGTAAATTAAATATATAGGCCTTTTTTGATGTAATTGTTAGAATTTTGTTAGAAATTGTGAATTTAAGCACGTTCAGGGATGGTTGATCTCTTAAGACTACGAGAAGATTACGAGGCCATTAAGTCAGATCAGACAATTTTTAGATTGATAAGAGTTTGGACTATGATAATTATTACCTCAAAACATATTTATCCTCATCGAAGGGATCCAATCAAAATGAAAATTCTCTTTAGTTTCTTCCATCAATGCAATGCACATTCCCTTACACCCACGTTATAGAGCCAATTAGAGAAGCTTGTGAGATTCAAAGTTGTTAATGTCATTACGTTGTCTTATAATATTATTACACGTGTTTTATATTTATTAAAAAGTTATAGCGTTTATTATTGTTATATGGAGGATATTTCTCCTTTTTTTGTGATTTTTTGTTGCATTTTTCTATCTGTATATCAAAAGGACTTTAGTGTTGGTCTCATAAGGATCCAACGATCTAGAACAAGAAAACATGATAAAGAAGGGTTTCCTATAAAGAGATCATGTGGTCCTATCGAGCTGACCGAGTTAAGTTAACCGAGTCAAAAGTTGACAGGAGAATGGCTAATTGATCTAAACAGGGCAACTCATCCGTTTACTCTTTAGGAGGATGTCTAAATCTTACCCATCCAAATTAGGGCAAAGATGTAATATTATCATTATAATGACTCCTCTATAAATAAGGGTTAGTGTTTATTTTGGATATCATAAGATCCAACATAGAAATCCTCACACACTCTCTCTACTTTTTCACTCTCCTAAGTCCTATCACGCTCTCTTCATTGGGTGTGATCCGCAAATTTTTTTTTTTTTGATTTAGATTTCTATATGTTTAAATTGGGTAATACCAAGCTACAATTATCCATATATTTTATTTTTACTTCAAAACAAAATTTAATATACCAACATAACAATTTGAATTTTCCCAAAAAAAATTGTTCAGATTAAGGACAGATGCATTTGTATGTATGGAATCCAATTCTTCGTCTAGATACATCCCTACATTTTAATTTTAATTTTTTTTTTTTAATTTTTACATTCCAACGCAGGCCGCCAGGCCACATGAGATGGATGGAGTCCAACAAGCGCGTTAGATGCATCCTCTACGGAAATAAAAACAGCCAATCTTAATTCACAAAAAATAATAATAATAATAATAATAATAATAAATAAATAAATAAAAATAAGTTCCAAATATATCTTAATTTACCAAAAAAAAAAAAGTTATTTTTCCTTTCGTGCACGCAGCTTTTTTTACAGCTACATGCGAAATGTTTCATTTTACTTGAATAAATGACTGATTTTTTTTCACCGGGAAAAAAATTGCGTGCGATAGACGTACGCGGTACTGCGTGCGATATTGAGGTTATACCGATGGTACAAGGGGGTTATATCCGCGGTGTAATCCCTTGTAACCTACCTGTAACCTACTAATAAATTCTTAATATATAATAACAGAAGCGCGAAACTTATTTTAGGTTATAGGTAGGTTACAAAATGTTATGAGGAGGTTACAAGGAGTTATACTGCGGATGTAATCCCTTGTACCCTCGATATAACCTCAATATCATAGGCAGTATGTCCATCGCAAATTTTTTCCGTGAAACTGATCACAGTTAGTCAGCAACTCAATAGCCACCTCTGTATAAGATGCAAGCAAAATAAAAATTAAACTTTTAGGTTCTCTAGAACCCTAATGATCTTTAATCACCAAGTACACAAGCATGCCGCCATTAAAAATCACCAAGAAACACCACAAGCACGTCAACAACCCCTTCCCCTCCCCCTCAAAATCCCTCCCGTTGATCCATGGAACCCTCTCCTACAATAGAATTCTTCCCCATCGCCAAGTTTACCAAATCGGGAACGATTTTCAGCTTCTTTGGAGCTCCAACAATGGCGGATATGCGTCAATATCCCACAAATCCCAGCCTGATCGAAGCTTATGGTCCAGCATACCGGGGGAGGCGTTCGTCTCTGCCGCAGCTGCGAAGACCGAGGTGGAGGAGAGCAGAGGCTCTTTCGTGATCAATGATGGCGATGTCTCATTCCTCTGTGATCATCAAACCATTGAAGAAATCAAAGCAATTTGCAGCTCTGAAACTGAGCGGAAATTAAAGAATTATTATGAGTTTCTCCATGGATTACTTCAATCAAATGAGAAGAATGTTCCTCACGAACCTTTGAAGAGGATCCAATTTCCAGCTCTAGTGATCAGTGGTTGGATCTCCAGCAAGAGATCTAAAAGGTTTGCTTCCAGGAAATTATGGTTTTGGGGAAGAAACCCTAGCCTTCAGAGGGCTGGGAAATCATCTCTTGCAGTGAGGTATTGGGTTCTTTTTCATCAGAAGAACAGCAATCAGGTTGGGTTCCAGGTCAAGTTCGGAGAGACGAAACAGCAGCAAAGCCTAAGAGTCTACCAGAGGTTTTCAGAAGGTTTCCATGGTAAGAGGTGGAAGCAGGTTCGAGTTAGAAGACGACATCGGGTCTCATGCTTCTCCAGCCGAAGAGACTTCCTGTGTTTATCTTCAGATGATGAGAAGGAAGAAGAGAGAGCTAATGGATTCAAAGAATTGAACAGAGTTATTCTAACATATTCGAGTGAGAGAGATGAGAAGTTCTATGGATTTGGAGAACAATTCTCCCATATGGAGTTTAAAGGAAGAAGAGTTCCTATACTGGTGCAGGAGCAAGGCATTGGGAGAGGAGATCAGCCCATTACATTTGCAGCTAATTTGGTCAGTTACAGGTACAGAGCTAGAATTTAAGTCTCTTAAACACCAAAATTTAACCTTGTACGTTTATATCACCTAAATCTTTCATATTACATAAAAATACAACAACTTTCCAAAAGTGAAATACATCTTTTCATGCATGGTTAAGGTGGCATATACATAAAAAAAATTGAAGTTTGGGTGTTAGATATGTAAATACATAGAAATTGAGTGGTATGAATGTAAATCTTCCATTTTTTTCCGTAACAAATATGTGCATTGTCTCTTTGATAGATCAGGTGGTGATTGGAGCACAACTTATGCTCCTTCACCATTCTACATGACATCAAAAATGAGATGTCTTTACCTTGAAGGATACGAGTACTCAATCTTTGATCTAACAGAACATGATAGAGTTCAGATACAGGTGATTACCTTTGAAGATACAAATATTGCATTTTGATCCTTTCTTCATTTGAAATTCTTGCAAAATTAAATAATACTCATTAGTGATGCTTCTGGCTAGGTGCATGGAAATTTTGTGGGTGGAAGAATACTCAATGGAAGTTCACCTGCAGAGTTGATCAAACGGTACACAGAAACCATAGGAAGGCCTCCAGAGCTACCAAGTTGGATCATTAATGGCGCTGTTATTGGCATGCAAGGAGGTACTGAAGCCGTTCGCAGGGTTTGGGATCAACTAAAAGATCATGATGTTCCTGTGTCAGCCTTTTGGTTACAGGTAACAATCGAGTCTTCATAGATTTAACAGAATATAGAAAAACATATCATATTTATTAGATTATTTACTAAAACATCAAAATCATAAGTTCTGCTTTCAAAAAAATTTTTGCATGTTCAGTTCAATGTGAGTAATCTGTGAAAAGAAATTTTCATTAGTGGCTTAATTGCTAAATTTGGCAACCTTGTAGGACTGGGTTGGCAAGAGAAAAACAATAATTGGGTCTCAGCTCTGGTGGAATTGGGAGGTTGACACTACTCACTATGCTGGTTGGGGAGAATTAGTTGATGATTTTAGAGCAAACAACATTAAAGTTATGACTTATTGCAACCCTTGCCTTGTTCCGGTGGTAAATCTCTTCCAAACAAGTTATATATCTAACTATTTAGAGTAAAGTGCCAAAAAAATCCCATAACTAGTTACACGGGGCCATTTTAGTCCCAAGGTTTAGAAAAGTGTTAAATTAGTCATCGGACTGTTTTAATGTGGGCTAAAATAGTTATCATTGAGGATTTTTCAACTCATATGAAAGTGTTTGGGGACTAAATTGACACTTTTATAAACTCTGGGACAAAAATGACCCTCTGCAAAAGAGTCCGAGAATCATTTTGATACTTCTATAACCTCTGGGGCTAAAATGACCCTCCACAAATGAGTCGGGTATCTTTTTGACACTTGTGTGTCTGTGTGTGTGTGTGAGCTACCTCCCCAGGCTCTTTCTTCCCTTCTAACTCCTCTGTCTGATATGGTGAACGTTCTTCTGTGGCCCGAGCTATTTCCCATCTAAAATTTTACCTTCCCTTGTGACTTCTCCTCTCTTTGATATAGTGAATTTTCTTCTGTATGCCCACGGTATTTCCCATCTAAAATTTTACATGTAGATCTGTCTTCTCTTTGTTTCTTATGTTATTCATCACATCGATTTCATAACACATGACATACAATGTATATAAACCAAAAGCATTTAGTCTCTAAGGAACCAATTAATTTGCAGAGAAACGAAAAGCCAAACAAGAACAAAAATCTCTTTGAAGAAGCAGAAGAGTTAGACATCTTAGTGAAAGACAAAAATGGTGCTACCTACATGATACCCAACACTGCTTTTGATGTAGGAATGTTAGACCTCTCACACCCAAATGCAAGCAGTTGGTTCAAGAAGATACTTCATGAGATGGTAGACTGTGGTATCAGTGGCTGGATGGCAGATTTTGGTGAAGGCCTTCCTCTAGATGCCAATCTCTTCTCAGGTTCCTATTATAGCTCCTCCTTTTAGTTTCTTATACCATTAAAAAAAAATTAAACAAGTCAATAATGAACAGGTGAAGATCCCATCACTGCTCATAACAGATATCCAGAATTATGGGCAAGAGTGAATAGAGAGTTTGTGGATGAGTGGAAATCTAAGGATGGGGGAGATGATGAAGAAAGGTTGGTGTTCTTTATGAGGGCTGGCTTCAGAGAGAGCCCAAAGTGGGCAATGCTTTTCTGGGAAGGAGACCAAATGGTAAGCTGGCAGCACAACGATGGAATCAAGAGCAGTGTTACAGGCTTGCTCAGCAGTGGACTCTCAGGTTTTGCTCTAAATCATAGTGACATTGGAGGATACTGTGCAGTAAACTTACCTATGATAAAGTACCGACGAAGCGAAGAGCTTTTATTGCGCTGGATGGAGCTGAATGCATTCAATACAGTCTACAGAACACATGAAGTAAGAAACAGAAGCCTCATTCTCGTAACTCTTCATTGCCACAATATAAACTTGAATGTTGCTGCAGGGAAACAAGCCAGAATCAAACTGTCAATTCTACTCCAACAGCAAAACATTGAGTCATTTTTCAAGATTTGCAAAGGTTTACAAGGCCTGGAAATTTTATAGAGCTCAACTAGTAAAGGTAATCCCTCAAATGAGGAAAGTGCCAAAATAGTCCCCTGGCTATTTATATGTGGCCATTTTAGTCTTAGAGTCTACAAAAATATCAAGTTACTCCTCAGATTCTTTTAATAAGAGCTGAAATAATCCTCAGAGAGGACTAATTTAGTCCCTTTAAAAATTTTAGGGATTAAATTTACACTTTTATAAACTCTCGGACTAAAATGACTCCCCACAAAAAAATCTGGGGGTCATTTTTGATCCTTTTCTCTCTCTCAAATGTTCAACTTGATAACAAAAAAATGCATCAGGTTTTAGATTCTTATAGATTGATAGAACTATTGATCAACAGGAAGCTTCTCAGACTGGGTTACCAGTCGCCCGACATCTGTTTCTTCATTATCCTTATGATGAGCACATCCACAGCCTGACTTACCAACAGTTTCTGATAGGAACTGAGATATTAGTAGTTCCTGTTTTAGATAAGGGAAAGAAGAAAGTGAAAGCCTATTTCCCATTGGGCCAGGGATGTTCTTGGAAACATATATGGACCGGAAAAATATTTGGAATGTCTTCAACTGAATCAGAAAATAAACAAGAAGGATTTGAAAAATGGGTGGAAGCACCTATCGGCTACCCAGCGGTATTCTTTAAATCAGGCTCACCTGTAGGGGAACAATTTATGAAGAACTTGCAAGATCTTGGGATCTTATAGCTCTCGACCTGAACTATGAGTATTACTCCAGCCTCCTGCTTATGAAGAGCTTGCAAGATCTTGGGATCTTATAGTTCTCAACCTGAGTATGAGTAGCTCTTACTCCAGCCTCCTGCTTTCCCCCCATTATAACATTTGGGGAATTTACAAACATTCCACCTAATTCCTATTTATTTACATATCTAACACCTAAATTTTAATTGTTACATTAATACAACTCAAATTTTTCATATCACATAAAAAATACCACCATTTTAAGTTTTAATAAGAGAAATACATATTTTCATGCATAGCTATGTAAAAAATGAAGTTTAGGTGTTAGAGTGGTATGTATGTAAATTTTTATACAAGTTTATGGAAGCAAGCAGAGGTCTGAGTATACTCTTTAACATACTCAAATATTCAAGAAAAAGAACTCATGGGAGATTTTGAAACCTTCTCTTGAAAATGATTTATGAAGCATGATGCCAGATGATTGTAACTAAGTTGTCATTTTTTTGTAAGTATTTGGAAGGGAAATATTTAATCAGTCGAACTTGTGCCAAACAAAATGAGTATAACTGTATAAGAACCTATTTTAATATGTTATAGGAGTTATGGGATTAGATAATAAAAGGCTTGACAGTTTTCTTGGAACTATGGTCGAACACCTTTCCTGCGTACCTTAGCATTTCAAAAATGATGATCATTTTCATATAAAGAATGAAATAACATATTTCTTTTCGGATATGAAAAATGTCACTTTCCCTCAGCTAATATAGGCCATAAATTAGCATAGCAACAAAAAAAAGATACTGAGCCTAAAGTTTATAGCGTTGCTTAAGGAAAAAAATAAAACAAAATAAATAAAAAATCCAAATGATGTTTGCATCGGAAGCAAATAATTTAATTTGGATTTCATTTCATTCCCTTAATCATCAAACCACAACCTATAGCAGAATAGTTTTACACTTCAACAAATTATTTCTCTTTTTCTTAAAGTACATACAATCAAACTTGATAGTTATAGAAACAAGCCAGAAAACTGCAAGCATCCTGGCAAGCAATACAAGCCGGAGCAGAAGGCCGTCTTTTTAAGTTCCATGGAGAACATAACAATAAAAAAGGAAGATTTACATAGATACCACTCAATACTAACGTATTTACGTATCTAACACCAAAACTTTTATTTTTGGTATTTCACCTTTATGCCACCTTAAATAAGCATGAAAGTGTATTTCACCTTTTAAATGTTAAAGAAGTGGTCTTTTGGATGTGATGCTAAAGATTTGGATGATAGAAATGTAAAAATTAAAGTTAACGTGTTAGATATACTAATACATAGAAATTGAGTGATATATATGTAAATACCCCCAAAAAATTATTAAAAAAAAAAAGAACCTGAGCCGAGACATCAGAGATCAAAGATCTGAACAGGCCAACTGCGCTTCCTCCCATCCAAGGTGATTCCAGTAGTCTCCAAGGATATGTCTAAGCTCCGGTGCACCAAAGATCGAGCGATGCTGATGCGAGATCTAATTCTTGCTGCAGGGCGCCGTTCCGTGCCGATAAGTCCATCTTCCGCATAGGATTTGGCAGATGTCATGGCAATTGGCTCTCGAAATGTGAAAATGGTCTGAGACCAATGAGTCTTCGGCGAGTACGGCGAAGTGGATAGAACCGTCGGCATTTCCTTACAGAATCTTTTTGTGAAACCTGTCTCAAACCATAGAATTATGCCATAGCACCAGCGGACAAGGGGTTTAGCATCAGCTGAAGCATCTTCTGGGCTTGGCTTTGGTACCACCAACTCACAGCTAGCAGTGAAGTCTAGTTCATCTGGTGTCATTGTGGTCAGATCAAAAGTCTGAAACGGAAGAACAAGAGGAATTTGAAGTAATTAAGAATAACAAGTATCAAAAGATCCTGTTCTATTCAACAGCAGTAAAAAACATGGAAGATTTCCATACATACCAATGAATTCTTATGTATTACATACATACCATTTAAACTTTAATTTTTACATACATGCCACTTTTTCCATGGATAAAAATGTGTACTTCACTTTTTGAAAGTTCAAGTAGTGGTATTTTTTTTATGTGATGTGAATGAGTTAGGTGGTATAATTGTAAAAAGCAAAGTTTAGGAGTTAGATATGTAAACGCATAAGAATTAAGTGGTATGTAAGGAATGTGGGAATATTAATGCGGAATTCATTGAGACTACTTTGTTACCATCGTGTGTTTTAAAGGTTTGGGCAATAAATTAGGGTTGTGTCAGGCTACAGGTTTCCAAGTACTCCAAACGATCTAAAGGTAACATCAAACCTGTGATTAAAAGCTATAAAATAAATATTTGTTTTCTTCTGTCCAACTTTTCAATCATAGACTGACAAAAATCATACATGGTGAACCCGATCCTACTTAAGAACTCGTAGCTCATACGTGTCGATGAATTAGATAAATAATTACTGATACAACTAGATTATTTTGATGGTAAGAAGAGCCTGAATCTGTATTACTAGACGTATATTCTTGAATTTGAGTCAGAGTCTAAATGCGATGAATTTGGATGAGGACCTATATTTCAATTTCTAAATATGAATTTGAGCTTCTATGTGAAATTGAATCCACTCCTAAATGTGAAGCTGAACAAATTATGCATATTTTAGTTGGAGAATCAATTGATTAAATTGGTGCACACATCCTAAATATGCAAATGAACAAAACATATCTCATATAGGGAGTCTAATAAGTAAACATATAAAATAAAAAATTAAAGGAAAAAAGCAAAAAAAATTATTCCTATCGGGTATGATAAATTGATTGAACAAACAAATTAACTCCTTAATTCTAATGGAGTTATTTAGGAATGGATATGTACACCTCTATGAGATCTCCATTTAGGAACACATTCTTCACATCGAGCTAGAATAAGGGCCAATCCATCTTCACTGCAAAACACAATAGGAATCAAATAGTTTTAACTTAGCCACCATAGCAAATGTGTCCTCATAGTCAACTCCGTAGGTCTATAACTACCCTTAGGCAACCAATCGTGCTTTGTTGCGTTCAAAGAATCCATCAGAGTTGAACAGGATGCAAAAAATTCATCGACATCCTACTGTTTTCTTTCCCCGAGGAATATCTACCACGCGCGTATGGTTCCATCGAAGCGCATTCACCTCCTCTATTGCAGCCTTCCACGCAAGATCTGCTAGTTCCGCCTCAAAGGTAGATGGGATTTAATGATCTGTCAGGGCAGTAGCAAATGCTTTGTAGGTTGGCGATAGACTGCGAAAAGAAACTTTTCATGGAATAGAGGGAGGGAGCATGCCTAATTGCGTACCTTGTTTGTAGAACTCACCCCCTCATTTGCAGTAGAAGTTGTGTTGGGGTTGTCATCCGGGGTAGATTCAAGGTCCTACAAAGAGGTAGCATGCCCCAGAGTAGGTGCATCGAAATGAGTGCGCCGAGTGTAGAAACGAGAGGAGGAGATGGTGGAACAACAGGGGCCAGAGATTCCCTCAGAGGTAGAAACAATGGGGGGGAACATCCATAGGAGTAGAATAAGGAATAGTGTCCAAGAACTCTAGCTCCGCCTCACTTAAGGTTGACTTGGAAAAATAAGGAATACTTTAAAAAAAAAGAAACATCAATACTCACATAGATTTTTTTTTTTTGCGATGGGATCAAGCCACTGATACCTTTTTTGAGTGGCGGGGTAGCAGAGGAAGAAACATTTTATGAATCTGAGATCAAATTTATTTCAAGTGGGTTCGGTGTTCCGAACAAAGTCTATGCACCCAAAAATTTTGGGATCTAAAGTGAAGAAGACCTGATTAACAGGAAAGCATGACATTAGAGCAGTTAAAGGGGTTCAAAAAAAGTTGTGAATTTTATATGAGACTCTATTTATGAGATATGTAAACTAATTCCAAAAACGTTTAGAGACATATAATTGAAATAGATAGAGTGAGCAACATCGAGGGGATGTCGGTTTTTTCTCTCAGCTATCTCATTTTGTTGAAAAGTGTTAGTACACGAACTATAGTGGTGGATGCTCTTACTTACCAACAATTCTTTTAAAAAAGAGTTTAAAAACTCACGAACATTGTCAATCCTGAGGACCTGAATTAAAATTTTGAATTGGGTCAAAATGAAAATGTAGAAATTTTGAAAGGTAACATCAACTTTCGCTTTGTATTTTAGAATATAAACTCAAATTATTTGAGAGTAATCATCAATCAAGGTAAGAAACCACCGTTTATTAGTGTAGCTAGAAGTGCGAGAGGGACCCAATACGTCACTGTGAATGGTGAAAAAGAAGCATAAGATGTTAAAGTGTGGGGTGGGTAATGAACTCGATGATGTTTGGCTAACCGACACGTTTCACAATTGAAATTAGAGATTTTTCTTAGTTAACATCAACGAATACAATTGTTCTACATACTGGAAACTAGGATGACTAAAACGATATTGCAATAACATAATAGGACATTCAGTGACTCAAGATAAACTACAACTACTGAGTGAAGTGTTCTCTTGCTCCGTGCTTTTCTCTTAGAAATAGTAAGGTCCAGCTAATTGTTTAACAGTATCATCCTCCTCGAAAAAAGATCCTGAAAGACAAACATCAAGAGAGAAATGAGCAGCGCAATGAATGTCATCCGTCAACTTACTAATTGATAAAAGGTTACACTTCAATAGTGGAACATGTGATACAGATTCCAGGGTTAGGCCGGTAGTTAGAACAATCGTCCTTTTACCAGCAATGGAGCTAGAGGAGTGTTGACCTCATTTTAGTGAGGTCTTAGCCTCCT